ACCAAATTGGGGGTCAGTACAATAGTTTAGGGACCAAATTGAAAATCCATACAATAGTTCAGGGACCAAATTAAGGGTTTAGCCAAATGAAAAAAACTAATTATATAACAAAACATCTTATTAAAAGTTTAAAATATTCTATAATATTGTAACTATATCATTTTTATACAAGCAAACTAAAAAAAATCTAAATCCCAACATCTTAAATATTGAAATTTAAAATAATAAGCCCTAACACGTTTAAAATTAAAATTTACATAAAGTTTGAAAACTAAAAATAGTTCAAAAAATTGAGGGACTAAAATGAGTTTTAAATTGCTAAATTGAGGGACCAATTTCTAAGTTTAACCAGAACAAAGGCGAAGGAAATTAATGGGCGTGGGGCTACCACGTACCTTTCATCCTCAATCAGTCTCCATAGAAGGCCGTTGGCCTCCTAATAATTATCCTTCTCACCAACAATCTGTTGGCAAAAGTCTAGTTTTAGCCTTTCACCTTATCGAGTTTGAAGGTTTTAGCCTCTCAACTTATATTATGATATTTTAACCCCTTATCTTACTAGATTTATAAGCTTTAACCCATCATCTTATACCATAACACTTTTAGCCCTCACCTATTAAAATTGAAGAAAATAACCTTCACTTTATAACATTTTGTTAGTTCTGTTAACTGACTGTTAATTCTATTATCTAACTGTTAGTTGATTATTAGTTGACAAAAACCTTCTTTCAGCTAATAGAATTAACAGAACTAATTTTATAATATTTTGTTAATTATGTTAACTAACTATTAGTTAACTGTTAATTGACAAAAACCTATTGTAAGCTAATAGAGTTAACAGTCAATATAAAGTAAAAAGCTATTTTCTTCAATTTTAATAAATGAGGGGTTAAAACTTACAAATCTAAGAAGGTAAAGAATTAAAAATGTCATATTATTATAAGGTGGGGCTAAAACCTTCAAACTTGCTAAGATAAAGAGTTAAAACTAGGTTTTTACCCAATCTGTTGGTTCAAGAAATAGAAACTTAATTTCTTTTAAACAAATCTTAAGTTCAAATCTTATGAATGAAAAAATAAACATTAGAAAAACTTCTTTTTATGGGATTCAACGCAACTCGATTCTATATTAATTAAGATCCAATGTGATTTCCAGATACCAGAAGGTTAGTACTAAAAAGTAAATAATAATTATTCTTTTCACAAAATTTATTATAAATTATTTAGAAAGAAAATTAATATTCTAAACTAAAATGATATAGATCAATAATTAAATTAAAGTCAATGAATAATTTTTATTCAAGTTAAGCTCTCATCAAGGAAAAGAGTTAATTATGTAGTAAAAAAGTCCAGAGTTTTCATTTCACATTGTACATAAAAATATAATACTTGGAAGAACTCATCTTTATTTTTTTATTAGGTTTTAACATAAATAATAAAATTAGGTCCCCCCCCTCCCCCCTCCCCCCTCCCTCATTTTTTTTAAAAAAATTTATGTGAGCATAAATTATGGATTACGTTGTTACCACATAAGTTCTTTTCACTAGTTAAATTAATGGAAAGGTGATAGGATGACCATATTTAAAAATGAAGTAAAACTACGACTACAAGCATAACACTAGGATTTTCACAAATACGTACTACTTTTTCCAAGCAACCAAAATTTTGAAATCGGTAATCTGAGAACATTTAAAACCTTCTGCAGCAGAAAATATAAAAGAGAAGTTGAAATCTTGCCGTGAGTTCAACCCTTCTTCAATTATTCTTGTACCTCTGTTGTATTGTTGCATTCCCTCTTCATCAATGTATAAGATAGCTTTGCAGAGATGATCTTTCTGCTGCAAAGAAGGGCAAGAGAGAGTTTTCTATCTCTACAAACGCCAAGAACAGCTGTGGTAGCATCTCAGCTCCCAATGGTTCTGGTTCTGGTTCTGGTTCTGGCTCCGGAAGAACAACTTAACAGAACTTTGCCCTGCAACTGATTAAATTCGTTAAGAATCTCAGGCTTCCTGCAACAACTGGGGTCAGAATCTCAGCTACTGATGGTTCTGTAAAATATATGGGACCTTTCCTCCAACTGACAAATCTCTCTAACAATGCATGCAGCTAGTACCTTCTGGGGACTTTCCATGGGCTGTATTGGTAGGATTGCCAAAATTGAAAGAAAAAATATGAATTTCTTGATGTCAAGCATCCTGATTAATCTTTGGCAGTATCAAAAGAGCAGCTCTCATCCTCAACACATTGTGTCTTTAAGGCGTGGAACATTTAGGGATTGTCTTGTTGCTAAGGCTCTGCAACAGCAACAACAATTCATCCACCCATCAACACACCCACACACCCACACACCCACCCCCCCACCCATCCAAGCAAACACACAAAATACAAGAGGTCAGTTGATAAATAGAAGAGAAAAATTAAAAATAAAAACGACAGTATATTCCTTGAAAATTCAAATCATTGGTAGCCAGTTTGACATTTTGAATATAAAGTGCAATAACGAAATTTTAACCTGACTGTTACTATTCCATCTTTAATTTTGTTACATGTAACTTATTGCATCATTATGTAAAATTTAACCATTTACCACTCTAGATGCTATTGATCACATGATTGTTCCTCAAAATGTTTTATGGTTTGCAGAATGTCTGTGTTAAATAGGTTCCCTTGTGAGTCTAAAGATAAAAGGGTTCCACACTGAAAGAATAGGAAGAGGATGAGTAGCTTAAATATGTTAAGACCCAAGAAACCAATGGACTCATCTTTTGGTTTCAATATGATGTCAATGCATGCATTGGACCACCAATTTGTCTCCCCGCTTGGCCAGATTCCTCCCTAACAATGTCAAAAGGCAAGGGAAAGAAAAGACTAGTTCTGCCACATGTTAGGCAAGGTAGAAACATGTGAAATCTTTGTTTAAACAAATTTGAAATATTTAACCTTCTGTTTTTATTCTTTCAAAGAGTAAGTAGACTTGCATTAATGTACCAGTAGAAAATGAATACAACTGAAGCAAGTTGGTGAATTAATTACATACCTGAGAGTAAGACTGATGCTTTCCCTGTCTAAAAGTCCAACAGGACGTCCCCTGCAGTCTTCAACATGCTCTGAAACAACTGGAACTTGACTTATACCATGTCTATTCATGATAATTTGCACAGATAGAAGGTCCATGGAGGGCGTAGCAGTCCATGGTACTCGACATTTGTCAGCATCCAATGAACACACTTCAGATACCAAAAGCTCCTGTAGTAGGAACTGATTATTAGGTCAAGTGTCAACTGTCTTAGCTAAAGTTTTGAGTGCAGTAGTGCACCAAGGGAAGGGGAGTATGTAAGACACTTAAAATAATACTTTAAGACCGCAGGAAGCAAAAACCAAAAGTTTGAACTGAAACCTATTGATTGACAAAGTACACCAACGGCATCGCTTAATGCACCAATATTCGGTTGGAAATTACACCAGAGTTGGTAATTTCCAGTGCCCAGTTCTGAAGCAACTAGTTTTAGATATCACCTTTAAAATGCCATTTGAAATGTAGATAAAAGCACCAATGCTAAAATTTTCTTTTAATGTATTTAAGAAGCAATTATTATATTTCAGTGACATGATACATCATTCTCCTCTTCACTTCATATTTTTCATGGGATTCTTGAAACTGATTGAACTTTTTTATTTATCCCTACTCTGGGATAATCACAATATCAGTCCTCAAACTTAGCGATGTGTTGTTGAGCCTAATTCCTTTTGTTCAACTGAGAGTTAGAGAGCAAAGAATTTCTAAGAATGTTTAATGTGGTACTTTTGCCTGTGCCATTAACCAAGTATAATGAAAATGTAATTTGGCTTTAATATTGTTATGGACATAAACTATAGTTGATCACATACAGCATCTTTGGCAGCAAATAACCTGCCCAAGCAACTCAAATGATTGCATTTGAGCTGGGTTGATGAATGATAAGGAAATGAAAATTTATTTTCAAGAAGGATACCTTTGAAAAGACGCATCGGAGGCATGAGAAAAACAAAGGGGATTCAATTCTGAGGACATTGCCTGTCCTTAGGACAAATCAAGAGGGTTCATGATTGCAATAGCTGGGCTTGAGTGGGTAGAAGATAAAAGGTCATTGTATATATTATATTTTAACCTACTGTTGTTTTAGAGGCTTGGCTTTGATTATTAAACTGTCAAAAATAGTCCTCAAAATGTGTAGCTTTGGATGTTTAACAATGAGGCATAAGTTTGGCCAAAAATGAAAAAACAATTAGGTATAAGTGTTTAGATCTTTATGACAACAAAAAGAGTAATTTTATTACTTTGTGAACCTTTCATAAAAAATAAGGTTTTCCCATTGATTTTGTATGTATGTTGTGAAATTTCATGATGATGACCAAGCATGCATGCTGGCGAAGAAAGTGGTACTTCTTGTTTTTACATTTATTGGATGTTTTATGTCCTGTCAGCTAAGGTAATGGTTTATCATAATGAAAGCTGTCCACAGTACAATCATGATGACAAAAATCCTCCAATTACAATTTTCTATGGTAAGGGTGTAGGGCATTTCTAACTGATTGTTGGAATCATGCTTTCTTTGGTTGAAGACATGGTCGCTGAACTTGAAACTGAGAAGGCTGAAAATGCATTTTATGGGGTTATTGGAAAGACTTTAAATGAGGACTGTAGCTTTGTCATTAGCAAATGCAGACATTTATTTATGAATGAAAATAGAGGTTTTGGTTAAGAATCTGTAGATAAGATGATGAAATGGCTGTTGATACTATTTGTTAGATCATGAACTAGACAATATTGATGAAATTGAGAAAGTTTAAAGGACCAGCTCCAGATGGGTCCCCAACCTGAGGGGATTTGCTTCTGTCAAAAGACAGTGGAGAAAAAGATGTTGGTAATGTTTGAGGGTCTTACAAGGGATGTTGATGGTTTTACTAATGTTGCTTCAGAGATCATATAGCTAAGGTCTGTGAGAAAATTGATTGTGTAAATGAAGGTGAACATGATGAATGTTAAAAAAGAAAGTTAAGACAGAGAAGGTTGCAACAAACAGTCAATCTATGTCAACAGAAACAGCCAAATCTCTAGAAACTATACTTTAATTTCAAGTACCAAATTGAAGTGAAAGGCATCATACCTTGGTTTCCATGTTTTTTCCTTTTGCAAATTTGCTGAACTCTTCAATATCAGCTAGTGTTATTAAACCAAGTAAATGATTGGCATCATCAACTATGACTGCACAAGACTGCTTCTCCAAAAGCATAAGAGTCACTGCATCTGCAAGTAAAGTATTCATCAGGATTGTTACATATCTTGTTCTCATGCCTTCTGAGACAAAAATTTCCTTCGTAAAGTCCTTGCCAGTAAAACTGAAATCATCAAGACAGAGTGAGCTTTCAATGTCACAAATGTTACTTGTATAAGCTGCCATTTCAGGTTGTACATTAGCTGAGGATAGTCCACTTGAGTTACTGGACGATACTTCAGACTCTTGAGGCTCTTTAGTAGTACTAGTGCTTCCCTCTTGGAGTGCTTTTTTCTCTTTGACATCCCTTCTTTTCATTTGCCCAGCTGTAATCAATGAAGAAAATCCAACAGCTCCAAGTAGTGGCAAAACTATCCGGTAATCCTGTGTCAGTTCAAATAGCAGCAGAACTGAAGTAAGCGGTACCTGACAGACTCCAGCAAGAGTAGCAGCCATACCAACCTGCAGGTCAAGTTCCCCACAGTCATCAACCAGAACACCATTCACTTTAACATATGAGCTTTCTAAGCAATTGAATGCATAAATAATTAGCATCTAAGAAATGATAAACTGAATAGTGTCTCAAAACTGTACCAGGCCATATGCTTGTGGTGAGGCCACTTCCAAGATGGAAAGATTAACAGGTGGAGTAGAATTAGCAAATACAAAACTAATGAATTTCCCATATGACATTCCTGTTGCTGCACCTATAAATAAGGATGGGGCATAATAACCTCCTACTAACCCAGAAGCTCGGCACAAAGAAGTTGCCATTATCTTGATGGCTACCAACTGAAGCAATAAATCAGCTGAGAGGCCCTCTACAAATGGTCTAGATTCCAAAAGAATGTCCACGTTCTCAAAACCCCAGTAAAGAATTTCAGGATAAGCCAAGGCCATTACACCGACAGTCAAGCCACCCAGTACAGGAAATACAGACCTTGGTATCCCAACTGACTTCTGAACATTATCCACAATGCCTAACATAAATGATGTGCATTTGGACAATGCCAATGAAACCAAGCCACACAGGATCCCCAGTAAGAGATAAAGTGGCAGTTCTGAAAATAAGTTGAATAAATTTCAAACCAAAACACCCATATATCAACTATATCCAAATATCTTCATCCAACATCATGAATAAATTTAACAAAAGATATGGAGCTACACAACATCTCGCATTAAAGATAAAGAACAAAATTTACCACCAGGGGAACGGAAGTCATATTCAGGGACCTTGAAGGCCGGTTCAGATCCAAGACCAACTTCTGAGAGAACAGAAGCTATAACGGCACTAAGAATAACCATAGAGGTGGTGTTAGTAAGAGAAACAGCTGAATCTGTTGGCGATGGCCAGAGAACGGATTCCACAGCAAAAAAGCAACCAGCAACGGCTGCATTGAACCCTGTGAATGCAGTAGTTGAAGATTGAATAACAATTCATTCCTGTATTCCAAGTGTAGTATATAAACTCAATGGAAACACCAACCAGAAGAAATTCCAGCTGCGGAGCCAGCAGCCAAAAGAGAGAGCCTTGTTTGAGGACTTTTATCGAACAGTTTATGAACTACCTTGGCAATGGAAGAACCAATCTCAACACTAGGACCTTCAGGCCCCAACGAGTTGCCAGTGCCGAGAGTGATACAAGCAGCCACAGTCTTCAAGAAGGGCCGGAGAGCAGCCCTCAAATCGTTATCAGGCCGCGCCACTGCTTCTCTGGCAGCATTTAAGAGTCCGACAATTAAACCGCCACAAGCAGGGACCAAAACAACCCGAAACCAGATGGAATCCAACGGCTCCTCCCTCAACCAGGAGGTTCCCCTGGAGGGAATCCCATCCCAGGAGAAATCCCGAATCTCATGAACAGCGGTGTTGAAGAGCACGACGCCAACCCCCGTCAGGAACCCCACCAAGCACGCCGATATTATCACTGCCGAATTCCCGCGCCAATCGATTTCATCACCATTTTCATCGTTTCCAGCGCCGCTGGACTTGGGGAGTGCCGCGGGGTGACCTGAAAATCTGGTCCGGCGGCTGGGGCTGCTAAAGGTGAGGGAATTAGGGGAGAAGGGAAAGTGGGTTTTGAAGGAAGAAGGTGATTTGTTGCATATGGAATGAGAGACAAGAAATGGAAACGATATGGAGTTCGGCAGCCGCAGTGCAGACTCCATGACCCTTCTTGTCTCATCCAATTCCTACGGACACGAGCTGCCTCGTTTTTATGGCTTGGTGAAGTTTATGATTTTAATTTTTTTGATTTTGTTTTTTAAAAATTTAAAAATATTATCTTTATCAAAAGTATTTTTCAATAAAAATTATATTTATTTTACAGTTTAAATATTGAAATTATCAAAATATTTTTAACAAAAAGAATTTCATATTTATTTTTTAATTGTGTTTTTGATAATTAAAGTGTTTAAATTGCACAATAAAAAAATACATTTTTCTATTTTTATTGTAAAATTACATATTACAATGTATATTAGTCATATGTTTAAAAATATTGGTATGAAAAACAAAGGAAAAGGAGAAATCAAAGTTGAACCCTGCCCGTGATTTGTACGGTCACTATGTGAAAGCTCTACCCATATCGCTTCCACCCATTTCACCAGGGTTCAACTCCCTTGTATTCCCATTCTCCCTTCCTCAATTGCTCCAATTTCCCTCAATTTAAAAGAAAAAAAAAAAAAAAGCAACAGAAGAAGCTACCAAATGTAAAAGGAATCTTGAATTTTGATAGATATGGATCAAAAGTAATCAAATCCAAATCAATAATGTTACTTATTCTATAACATTAGGAATTCATATGATAGGACATGATTACAAGATCTGAATTTGTTTTTTTAAATAAATACATTATTATATAGAATATTATAATAAACTAAATACAATTTCAGTGTTCATTTTCTTCAATCTTCCTATTCAATCTTTACTTAATTTGAATCTATTTTATGGTATCAGAGAAGGTCATTTTCTCTATCTAAATACTTAGAATTGTTTCCTCATTGCAAACTAATCATTTTCCTTGCTATCCAATACATCAAAATCGAATCCATGACAAAAAACAAAGAATTTGCTTACCATTCAAAGCTTCCACTAGATGGCAAGACTTCTTGTGGTTAAGTTATCAAGTTCAAACTTCCTACTTTGAAAATCATAGATTTATCCATTAATTCAAAGTGCTCAACTCATACGTCATTTGGAAGAACAAGATGTTCTAGCAAACAAAAACCACAAATGATGACAAAGAAAAATCAAACCCAAATTATAAACTTTAGTTGAACAATGATGGACTACCTACCAATTGGCTTCTTGGAACCATGAATGTAGAAACTCTAAGTCTTGTTGTTAGCTGTGAATCAACCTTTAACATTGGGAGCTGCTTAAAGGAACACTACCTAGCATCAACAAAAGAATAAGAATTACAACCCAAAGGGCAATTAGCAGTTAAACAAGGATAAGGAGTATCTCTTGAAGACTTTATAAGGAAATTCAAGTAAACTTGTGACATTCTAACTATTATATGCAAACCTATGGATGATTTACATACAGTGTTCCAACTTTCCAGAGTTATAGGAGCCAAGTACTAGCCTTATAACCTATTGTTCTATCAAAGGAACCATACCCTACCTTTAATCAATATAATGTTAGACTGTAAAATAATGAAAAGGACATACAAGTTGTTGAACAAGAAAACAAGGAAGAGTCCAAGTTTATTCTCAAGTCTTTGTTGCACATAGAAGCAAAGGACAACATGGTAAAGGCTATAGGGGAAAGAGTTTCAACTCGAGAGGAAGAGGTTTTGTGCAAGCTAGTAATTATCATTGTGACTGGTCAAGTAATACTAGCAAGAATAATATAACTAATAACAACTTTGCACTGAAACAGGCTATGCCACAAAAATCTCAACAGAGAGGTTTGTTATAACAACGTTAGAATCTATGTAAAATATGTGGTATTTCAGATCATATAGCCTTGAAATGCCAATACAGATTTGATCATGCATATCAAAGAATTGCCTCAAGCACTTGCAACTTTGAGTCTTGCAAATGACAAAGGTGAGAATTACTACATTGATACTAGTGCCATAAACCACATGACCTCAAACATAGGTAACATCTATACTAAGAGACCTTTTCAAAGGTATTCACAGTTGTTGAAACACCTTTACACATTTCACACATTGGATATGCCTTTGTTGGATCTTTAAAACTTAAAAATGTTTTAGTGATTTTTGAACTTAAGAAAAATTTGATTTCTGTTAGTAAATTTACTAATGAAAATTCATGTGCTTTTGAGTTCTCATATGATGGTTTTGCAATTAAGGACTAAACAACACAAGAGGTGTTAGCCAAGTGTAGTAAAAAAGGGTAGTTCTATGCTTTGGATAAAGGAGAAAAACGTGTCCCTGTTGCTATTTCAAATGAGGCTACAAATTATATTTGGCATCAAAAACTAGAGCATCCTAACTTTAAAGCCTTAAAAAATTTAGTATCAAAGGATAATGTTGTAGTGTCTAGTTGAACTAGAACAACAAATTTATGCAATAGTTGCCAAATGGGGAAGAATTGTAAACTTCCTTTTAAAAAAACCAATAAAAGAACAAATTCACCTTTTCAAAAAATACATTGTGATGTTTAGGGACCATCTCCAGTTCAATCTATCAATCATTTCTATTATTATGTGATATTTATTAATGATTACAATAGGTTTACATGGTTTTACTCGTTGCACAAAAAATCTAACTTTTTTAGTCTTTTCATAAAGTTTCAAAAGATAATTTCAAATCAATTTAACAAAAATATCAATCTTTCAATGTAATGGTGGAAAAGAGCTCATTAGCATAGCATTTACAAAAAATTTAGCACAATGTGGCATTAAGTAGCAATTATCTTGTTCTAGTACACCAAAACAAAATGGCATAGCAGAAAGAAAGCATAGACACATTGTTGAGATTGGTAAGATTATTGATTTATACTAACATGCCAGTGCATTATTGGGTTGATTATTTTTCTACTGTTTTTTTTTTTTTTTTTATTAACATGCTACCTACTCTATTGAATAATAAAACTTCTTATTATTTACTTTATGATAAAGTTCCAAATTACTCAATGATAAAGGTCTTAGATGTCATTGCTTTCCCTATCTCAAGAACTATGCTACACATAAGCTTGAACCTAGGTCACTTCTTTATGTTTTCATTAGATACAACCTTATTCATAAAGGATATAAATGTTTGCATCCTCCTATTCAACATATCTTTATATCTAGACATGTTTTTGATGAATATGTTATGTCTTATGTTGATCTTACAGAGTTATCTAAGAATGCTAATACAGATAAGGAGCTTTGTTATTATCCTAACAGTAATGAATGGCTTCAAACTTCATCACACCTACAACCCTCAAAGCAACTTGATGAAAAAATGGTGACCTTTTTGCCTTCACCATAATCTAATAATCATCACTATTGTGACTTACCAAGCAATAAAGAAGAAGTTACAACAACAACAGCCAATCTAAGCCAAGGAGAAAATAGTTAAATTTTGCCAGAATTAGACATAAACAATTCAACAAAATAATATTATTATTCATGAAGAATCAAGATCCTCTTAAGATTTAAAAGCTCATAATCAAGGAGAGTTAGTACCTACCTTGTCATGCCCCAAAACTAGGAGTGAAACAAATGTCGTACACTTGTGAGAGGATCTCATAAATGCACAAGGCTCAAAACTTACTAAATTCATAATGTATAACTCATAACTATCAATCCACTAAATTGAGATCCACAATCTCAAAATAAAATTTAACTTTTAATAGCCAAAGTTTTACTAGATCAAAAATACACAAAAATTTATACAATTCTATCAATAAGGTCATGAGTATCTCTAAGGGGATCTAGTCTACAATCATCTATCTTCCAACATCTATGTCCAAAAAATATAGGTGACTAGCGGCCTAACTCCACAATAATCTAACTCCAAAATACAAATGGCTAATCCTCTAGCTCGTCACTCCCCTTGGTTTCGCATGTCTCGAGTCTCACTATTTGAAATGATGGATAAGGAAAAACTATGTGAGATAACTTAGTAAGTAAAAATATGGGTAGCCTTTATTTAAAGTTAAAGTATGCCAAATAAAAAATTTAAGACATAAATAGAAGGAAAAATATCTCGGTTATAAACCATTAATGTGGAATAAAACTAAGTAGTGATCTTCTCCATTTGTCATGGCCAATGTTTAACAAACTCCCACTGGCAGGTGTTAGTAATAACCAGTGTACTATCCCACTAGCAAGAATACAGAATGAACCGGTCCTACAGATATACATGTCAACATGTGTCAGCGTTTATAAACTCCCACTGGCAAGCATTAGTAATCATGACCATATTGGAGACAAAACCATGTAGGAGTTCAACAAGACAATCCATAGTTTACAAACCAATTTCAGATTTCTAGAACAAACAAGTAATCTCCATGTAGGCATGCCAAACTCAATAAAAATAATAGCAACTTCATTTCAAATCAATCATGCTCATGTACAAATAAAAAAAAAAAAAAGTTTAGGTCCTGCCATCATCTCAAAAATAATTTAAAATATACTTTTAAAAGCTTTACCTTAAATCCAAGGGCAATTACCATAGATTTATTTACCTTCCCTTGTCATTATGCAATAAGCAAGAATTCAGTTCTCAAGGCGATGGAAGTGATCTAAAACCTATACCACATCAAAGTACAAACAAAATTACAACCTACCCCATTTAGCTAAATGGATTTCTAATTCCAGTATCAAATTTCTCACCAAAGAAACAATTTCTTCCTACACATACTACTTCTACCCATTGAAACTTTATTAACATATTAATTTGTTTAACCATACTTAGAGTATGCTTAAAACAACTCCAAAATTCACACACAAAGGTAGAATTTTTTGGGTAAAAATAGTAGCAATTTATGGGTAAAACAGTATAATTTTTTGGGTAAACAGCTGCAATCTATGGACAAAAACAATAGAATTTTCTTGGTAAAACAACAGAAGTTTCTAGGCAAAACAACAATAATTTATGGGCAAAATAGTAGAGTTTTCTAGGTAAAAACAATAGAATTTTCTAGGTGAAATAGCAGAAGTTTCTAGGCAAAACAACAGCAATTTATAGGTAAAATAGCAGAGTTTCCTGGGTAAAAACAACAACAT